GTAGCTGATACTTCCTTGGGTCTGAAGCAGAATGTCTAAATCCCTTCCAGACTTGCATTTCTTGATTCTTTGATCCTCACATCTAATGGTTTGTTGATTATTTCCACTGGAACAAGGTGAGGGGAGAGGACTGAGTATCTTCCTGTCCTTAATCTCTTTGGGATCAGAGGAGAGAGTAGCATTTTTTTCCCCAAAATTACCTGTATCAGTCTTGATTTTCAGGTTATGTTCACATCTCATGCAGAAGTTCCCTATGTGCCGGCTTATTCCTGTCATGCGCTCCTATGTGCTATTCAGTGATCAGGATACTCCTGTAGCTGGAATTTGGAAGAGCACAAGTTTGCATTTGGAGGATTCTGGGAGGTTCAGCTTGATCCCACTGAGAGGGGGCAACTTGGAACCCAATTTTCTACTTTCAACAGGGTTATGCTGTGGAGTAAGGCTTCCTTTTGAGAGCATATAAAGTCTATGCAAGTCAGGGCCTGATATCCTGCTGGATGCCAGAGGCGTGCTTCTCTTGCATCCCATTCAAAGCCTTTTGAGGCTGTCTGCACGCTGCTCGTTTACCATTTACCTGGTTTAATGTAATTTGGATTGTGTTTTGGCCAAATACTTTGCAAAACCAAATTGACAGCTGGTTTACGTATACAAACTAGTGGAAACTAATTTGTTCTTTCAATATGTTATGTCCTGTGGGGAAAGAACTGTAATTTCAGAATAGTTTTCTTCTTTTGCAGGGACGCTTCCTTTTGCCAGCGTTGTCCTATGTATGTGCAATGTTTGTACCATACTTGGATGTTTATTTCCTTGTGGTGCAAATCTGACATTTTTGGAAGGAGCTTCAGGATTGTTAACTTCATACAATGAAATATTTCAAATTTAACTTCAGTTTAACAGTCTGCATCCTCTTTGTTCGTTGATTTGACAGCTGAAGGAGGGCGAAATGTAGCATCTCTGACTTAAAGTGTCAGCATACTAAGAAATGTAAAGAAATGTGCTGTTCTCCTCCAAAACTGCTGCTTTTCAAGTCTGCCTGTGAGGGAAAACAAAACAAAAAGATGGAACTGAAAAGCAATGGGGGAGTAAAATTTCCATCCTTCGGTAGCTTCACAATAAATTTGTGAGTTTTATAACTAGATTAAATGCTGGTGTGGTGTTTTCTGGTGAATGGGGTGCTGTCTCATTACTATACAATGGTATCTTATAGTAGCTTGCATGAGAAATCAAAGTTCTCTCCCATGTGTACACAAATAAACGCATGTTTCTTGTCCCTTTTTCCTTTTCTTCCCATACATAGACCTGGAATAACAAGTGAAGACTATCTTTAAAATAAAAAAAGCTTCTTTCTATGCTAGTCAAAGTTAAATCCCTGATTTCTCATTCACTTAAAGTACTTGAGAAAGCACTGAAATAATTTTTGCCCTTTGACCATAACATGCATCTTCATTTCTCTTTTGTCTTATTATTATTGTTAACTTGTTGAAAAAACTGGATGCTAGGAAGTTGGCGAACATCCTGAACTTACGTAGATGGTGCCTGAACCTTGCAGATGCACATATGGTAGTAGCTACGGAGTTTGTATAGCATCAGTTCTTGTTTGACAGCTTGTACATCATATAATTGGCTCCGGTCCCTTGTAGCTTCAGTTTGAAATCTCCTTGCTTTTAAATATTTGTCTGACTTGGGAGAAAATTCTACATAGTCTTGAGAGCAGCTGAAGATACTTTGAGGTGTCTTTTAGCCGTTTACCCAAGGCAAAGTCCAGAGGCTTTGCTAGCCTCAGTCTGCTTGGTAGTGACTCTGCTCTGTGATTCAGGAAGCTGCTTCAGCCTCTTCAGAGCTTCTGCTATCCTCCTTATTTTCTTTGCTCTGTGTAAATTGTGTGCTTCTTTGTAGGTTTTAAGTCATTAATTGCTTTTGAATCCTGTTTTTCCATGCCTGGATTTATAGGCAGAGTTTGTATAGAAATCTGGCCATCTGCAAGGCATCAAATCTCTTTATTCGTGCTGTTCAATCTCGTGCAGGAAAAGCTTTTCTTGAGCATCTGGGAGTAGAATCTATGAGACATCAGGGCTTCAAAGGACTCTTTGAGGAAGGTTGTCAAGGGGAAAGTCTTCCCAAAATAAAGTTTTCAGTTTTTACACATTTTGCATAAGTGGAGAGTGGGAGCTTTTGTTTGAGAGCACAGAGTCTTTGCAAATCAAAATGCTTTTGTAAGTCACATGTTGGGCTTCTAAGGGGAATCTGTTGTGACCAGGCTTAAGCCCTGAAAGTCTTAAATATAAGTGTACCTAATAGTGGATGGAGTTCTAAACAAACTTTTGAAATCTCTTCAGGCATTTCAGTACCTGTGACTGTACTGAATTGTCCTATAGGTGAGCAATTATTTTTCTACTTTCCAGTGAGAAAATGGAGTTTAAGGATTGTTTTTGCTGATCTATTTAAATTTGAGCCTAATTTCATACTGATTTTTTTTTTTAATTTCAGAAAATCCTGAAAGCCAATATAGTAATGCTTTAATTACTCCAAAATACTGTATTTTAAAAGACTTCATGGATTTAGTCTTAGAAAAGCTGCAAAACAATAGTTTAAATGACAGAATAAAACTATTCTGTTTTCTGTCTCCCAAGTTAAATGAGTAAATATGATCACAATATTGACTTGAGTTTTTTTCTGATGTTTCAAGGAGTGAGTGTACGACGTAAATACACTTGTAACGAAAGAGGTGCCAGACATGATGCAAGCTTGAAATCTAGCTGATTTTGACTGAGCTTTAATAGAATTCTTGCGCTCCACCTGCTCCGGCCTGTCTTTCAGGGCCTTCGTAACTGCGTTTCTGTCCGAGAAGAGAATTTTTTGTTTGTTCTGTTGGTGTGCACAACTCTCGGGAGAGCATGAGGGCAGGGTGGTGAGGCATGGTGACAGGAACATAAATAGGGTTTTGTTTGCAGGATCCCTATCCACTGTTAGCAGAAGCATCACTAGGTGAAGGTGTGTGAGTTTATGTTGCCTCTATGTGTTATGGTAAGCAGTTTTGAAAATAAGACTCCTCTGGAGTGATACCATGAAGCATTTTGAAATGCAGTACTTAAGTCAGTATTGTCAGAATATACATGGACCTTTCTTTTCCCCTTCCTCCCATGCCACAAACGGTGTGTTTCTTTGTGTTAGCAATAGAGACCCGGCTTGTTGGGTATGAGCGTGTGATCCCACCTCTGTCAAGTTAGCTGTTTTACAGCGTTTCTGCCAACTTTGATGCTAGCCGTCGTAGGACACGTGATACCTCAGGTGGTGTGAAGCACGCCAGTACACAGAATTCTTCGAACGGGCGTGAATTGGGAGAGGGTGTTCGCCTAAGGTCAGAGCTTTGTGTAATGTGGCCAGGGTGTTTCAGAGGCTGGTAATACCAGGTTTAAAATCGAACAAGGCCTGATCCTGTATCCTCAGATCACATCATGATTAGTAGTACTATGGGGCCACCTTCTTCCAGACAGAAATAATTACCCAAAATCTTCTTTTTTTAATTGAAGTAGTGGGAAATGTATACTTCAAACGATACCAGATTTACCGAGGCGAGTGGGGGAGGAAGAGAGGGATCCCCTTCCCATGTATAACTTTGAAACTTCTAAGTGGATGATTTTTCCCATAGGAGGCCATTCTTTACCTCTAAACAAGGTTTTTCTTCTTACTTTCAAAGGATCTTATGGTTCCACCTGGTTTTGCATTCAAGCCAGTTTTCTGGCAGTCCTTAGTCCTACAATGTGTAGTTTTTGTTTGTGGTTTTTGTTTTGTACTTGTAGAAAATGAACGCTTTCTTTTTTAAAGTGAGATTTTGTACTAAAATTATATCCAAAGTTGTGAGTTTTTCTTTTTCTGAAATAAATGTCTAGAAGCTATTTGACTGAAAAGATAATCAACCTTCTGTAGAGCTCTTCAGATTTAGAATATACTTTTCAGTCTATTTCTCACTACTTCTATTGTGGTTTTGTTTTGCTGTATCAATGAAGTATGACAGATTTGTTGCTAAAGGCTGAAGATGCAATTTTTAGGCTTTCTAATAACAACTGGAATAGAAGACTTCTCATTTTGGGGTCAAGTCTTTGGCAAAAGCTGATTAGCAGAAGCCTCTTTAATTCTACCTCAGTAAAAAATACATAAGGTTGCAAAAAAAGTCATAACCTCACTTCTGTCATAACTGTGCATACAGTGTGAAGTACATGTAAACTGGCAGATAATTAAAATGTTATTCAGGTTTGAAAATGGCTTTGGGCACTGCAATAGAAATGGGATGAAATCAATTCAGTTGATCCCTGCTGTAGCGTTTCAGTAAATTGTTATGGAAAATACTGTGCTCAATCATTAATGTTGTTTGCACAGGGGAGGATTGACATTTAGTTCATAGGTAAAGGATAATCACTATAATCACTTGGTAATTACCTCATTACTGATTGGTATCAATCATTTTATTGTGCAGTCAGTAAACATTTACATGATTGTTTTAGGTGAACCTGCATCATTAATCCATATCCCAAGTGGTAGCCTCATGAATGCTGTGGAGGTGGTATTGAAATTGTTGTGCAGTGTAGTCTTCTAGTAATTCAAAACAAAACAAAAACCCCAAAACCCAACAAAACAAAACCTCATGTGTTTTGTCATTTGCAGTGCCTGTCTTGACCTGGCTGGCTGGTTAAGGCCATAGAAACACGTCACAATGAAATAGCCTCTGCCCAAATACTACGCGTAGGAAGGAACAGGAAATTCAAAGTCAGGTGTGCTTTCAGTTGCTTGGAAGCAGAACTGTTATTTATCAGTTATGTTTGTGTAATGACTTTAAATCAGTATCCTGTAGTCTCATTCAAAGTCATACTGGATTAAAATTATTTCCTCCCCCCCCTCAAAATAAATACTTAGCGTCTCTTCAGAGGAGAACCCTTGGAGTCAGGAGGAAGGCTTGTTACAGATCACGTAATAACATTACAATGTGTCTTTGTCCTCTTAAGGCATCGCTGGCTTCATTCAATGACGGATGACCCTCCAACTACTCATCCACCAGTTGCTCGTAAATTTATCTGGGAAAACCATAAATTCAATCTGAGTGGCACTCCCGGACAGTATGTACCTTACTCTACTACTCGCAAGAAGATACAAGAGTGGATCCCACCTACAACAGCTAGCAAATAACAACAGCAACAACAACAACAACAGTGACTTGCCTCAGCTTTGGCTTTCAGTGTAAATTGTATTTTCACTGGTTTTGTTCAAAATAAAAGCCTCCTATAACAGCTGTGGTTTAGTTGATTGAATTGGGAGGAAAACAAGTGAGAAAACATTGGGAAGAGGTAGAGGACAGAATACATGACAAATCTTAATCTCATCAAGATATTGGGCTTTTTGTCATATTGTCAGCAGCTCTCAAACTCTTTTTAGCTTGATAACCATTTCTGTGACAGTCACTTCTCACATTGGTACCATTCAACAGAATACAAATATAAATTTGAAATACGGGATTCTCATCTGTAACATTATCCTGTTATAGTCTCTGCATGGCAAATAATGTACTATTCATGTACTATTTTAGGAAGCCATCTCTTTAAATATTTATAAGGCAAGTTAGAATAATAAGGCCAATCAAGGATTATAGTTTTTATTCATAAATTCTTTGTGCATGAGTATGCATGCATTACTGTATTACAGCATGGTATGACACATAATATAGAACTTGTCAGGCTGTAGTAATCAAATGACATCTCACCTCCTGCGGGAACTCAGCCATAAGCAGAGGGCCCCCGTCTCAAAACCTTTTTTGTTGCTTCTGTGTTATTGAGATTCTTTAGAAGATGTTCTGACAAGGGTTCAGCATGGGTTGTTTGTCCTGTTGTGACAAGACTTTAAAGGTTTTTGGAAGTTTGAGAATGCACACTTTTTTGGGGAGGTAGAGAAGTAAAATGTACCAGAACCTGTGCTCTAAAATGTGAAGTTTGCGAGTTCACGGTTGAAAGAGAGTTGGTTGGTGGGTCGCTTGGAGCCGGCCGGAACCGGCTGTGTCCTCTCCTCACAGAGGCCATCCCTGCAGCCCCGCGCTGCCAGCACCTTGACAATTACACCCAATGCACTGACTTATAAAAATCACTGTTACAGACAACTAAGAAGGGTTTTGAATATATTATATGCTTGCAATTGCCTGTCAAGAAGAAAAAACGTACTTTGCGCCCTAATAGCCACCCAAGTGGCTGCACTGCTGGCTCTATGCTGGCTTCTTTTCCTTCTCATCCCCACCTGACTGGGTTGCTTAACCCCCAGTTGCTTCCTTATCAAATCAAATTCCGTATTAATTCATTATTTAAAAGTGGTGTTTTTTAGCTTTAATTGCTTTAAACTAGTTCTAGTCTTTAAATTAGTAGGAAGTAGCACTTAGTGAGATCTCCTAACCTATCTAATTAAAAAAGGATAATGTTTAATTTACTTTAAGTCAACAAAGCACTGAGCACGGCTGAAAAGCAATTTGAGCCATACTGAGCAGCGTACGTGGAAAGGGCTCTTTCAACATTTTCATCTTGATAGATTATTTGGCCATAAGAACCAAGTTTGCCCCAGCACTGCTGAAGAGCTTCATTACTAACACTCATCTGTACACGCCCTACGGGCACAAACCTGGGTAGAGCAATTAGCGCTATTAGCCTCTGCTTCTTTTTAATGTGTTTCCTACCTATTTAATTCCCCTTCCTTCTTTGTCCACGTTTGTCCACAAATGCTGGATTTCAAATGCAGAATTTCACTGACCTCTCTTGTAACACTGCGTCTCCAAGGTAGATCGCATAAGGCATGTACAGGAAATAAAGCGTATGCAGAAAAATCAGCAGTCCTCCACAGGGCGCTCTGTAAATGCTTCTGCGACTCAGTCTTTTTATCGGCAACCTCCCTTCACTTATGGAAGTTCACCTTGGCTGATGACATCTGCCTCGGTATCCAGGCTCAGTTGCTTTCCGACCTAAATGACATTTTAAATGCCAAGCTGGCTGAGTGTCACAACAGATGGTGTCTTCAACCAAGTGCAACTGAAGCACTGACAGGAATATTCCCCTTATGCTAAATGTGACTTTTTAAAAGAAGCAACTTTGTGACACGGGAACCATCCCATTAAGAAGACAAGTACCTCTTCCAGGAGCAGCCAAGCGCTAAAACTTGCTTTTGTTTTAAAACTGTGTCTTTACCAGTAGCTTTTCACATCCCCGCAGTCCTGGGCAGCCCTTGGCAGTAGCTGGCTCCGGGCTATCGCTGTACCGACAGCACGCTTGGCTCGGCCCCGTGCATTGGCGGGGAGCCCTTCACTCAACAGGACACTGCTTCCTCCCTCCTGGCTGCCTGGGGCTGCACCCCTCTGCCCGATGCATCCGCAACCGGCCATGAGGCGTCAGGGTGGAGAATGACAGAGAAAGGAGCTTCAGGAGACCGTCTGCCTATATGACGATCCCAGTACCGATGGGTCAATACTGAGGCGTGCAACACCGCTCTGCTGGCCGCCCGCACCTCCCCTGCGCTGCGTTCAACCCCCCTGCCCAGCCAGCGAGCGAGTGTGGCAGGACGCGCTGCCCCGTCCCCGTCACCACGGGTGACTCTGCCAGCAGGGAGTTTATCAAGACCCTGAGAGTCCAACAGCCCAGGTCAGCACAGCACAGCGTTACGATAACACGAGCGGGCACCATCACAGGATCCATCAGCGGCACGCCGCTCACTAAGCCTCCAGATTTTGATCTTAAGACTCAAAACTGGCTGCGCAGGTCTGGAGTGGGTGGAGGTTGCCTTTCAGACAGAGGACTTGTGCTGTAGGCGTATACAAACAACACTGCTCAGTGCTCATGAGACTTGACATTGGCTTTGATGTTGAAAGCAGCTGATGAATCCTCTGTAGCTCCGTTTGGCAAAACGTTACTTCACTAGGTGAGATGGAGGGGAGAGGCAGCACCAGCATCGCACTGAAGAGCTTGCAGCAGAGAGTTAACATTTCATAACTGTTTCTGGCTACAACAAAAGGAGAAATGTTTGACAGGTGAGGACATCCTGGGCCATTTAAGAAAGCTGGAAGGAGAGGGGAGGAGGCCTTGTCTTTCCCTGCCCAACCTGTGCTGTACTACTGACTCCTGCACGCTGTGCCCACCCGGCTCCTTGAGGGCACGTCAAGAACATTCAGATACTCACCACCTCGCATTTTTATGCCACGTAAACTCAGGCTTCAATTTTGGGGATGTTTCCTGCTAAGGTTGGTGCTGGGAAGCAGTCTTGAGTGGGAGTTACAGGGATGATTGTTTTGGATACAGTTGGAAGTCATCAGCCCAGCAAGCTGGGGTATGTATTTTCCACAGCTGTGATGCATTCAGAGAGAAACCTTTGAGTTACTAATTCTGTGGGGCTTATTGTTCTGCTGGTAACAAAGGGGGAAAGAGGGAACAGATCCTTGCTTTGCTAGGAGGTTAAAACAACAGCAAGTCCAAAGGCTTCATGTGGTGTTCGCAAGGGGTGTACAAAAGCGGGTACTTTGAGGTGGTGGGGGGGGAGGTAGCAGCCTTTAAATGGCACTGCAGGTTCCTCCTGCAAATCCCACAGCCAATGCTGCCTTACGCCAGGGGGAAGCCTCCGTCAGTGGAAGAGATCGGAGCAACACGTATCGGCGGGGAAGTGCCCAGCAGGGATTTCCTCCTGGAGACCTGCTGAGCTTTGAACACCACCCTCTGGTTCCCAAGCAGAGCAAGGCCCACACACTGGAGCTAATGGTGGCTCTCACTTCCAGCCAGAATTCAGCATGGAGTCCAGGAAGGGGAGCGCTTTGCTGTGCGTGCTGTTCCCGGCTTCCAGCAGGAGCATCACTACGGCCACACTCGGAGCCCCTAGAGACTTCCCTTTGCTGAAGAGCCCAAACCAGGTCTGGCCATTTCCTTTACTTATGCTTTCAAGTCACTCGTACCCACATAACGTCATTTCCCAGACCGATGAATTTTGCAGGCGCTCTTAGTTTTGTTCACATGAGACAACAGGAAGGGCAGAATCAAAGCAGGATTTTGAGAAAAAAAGCAGTGTTTTCAAAATTTATATGTGAAATAATCACCTCCAAGAAGGTTCTGTTTTTGAAAAAGCACTTTAAGACTTACATTTATAATTTCCTCTGTGTATTTTACTTAGAGGTTTGGGTTCATGATTTTTCTCCTATTAAATATCAACAGAGTAAAAAAAAAAAATAGAACACAGATACATGTGTGCTAAGCAATATGTGTATACACAAATATGCATAGATACACTTTTAGTAGGAAAAAGAAGTAAAAAATTTAGCATAAAGACTATATTTAGTTGGAAATTTGCATTACAAAATTTCCAACAAGCAATGCTAAAATTTCTTCATCAAATTATGAAAATATGTAAAACAAGTTAACAACTGATATTCAAATCAAAGTTGCTTGCTTATTAATTAAAATAATGAATCACTTCATGTAGATCAGTTTATCCTGTGCTACAAACCTGGTAAGGCAGAAGAGATTGATTTTGATGTTGCAACCAAAAATTTTTGTTTGTGTGCATTAGAGCGAAAATAAGAGTTAGTGGCGCATTTTTAACTGGGTATTTAGAGCAGGAACAATGATAAAAGGACAGCTTCACAGGCTGCTTCTAAAATCTAGTGTTTGGGAATTTGTTCCTATTAAGAAGGATATGCAGCAAACTAAAATTTTAGGAGCCTATCTTCTTCTTTATCTAAATTACCCACCAAAAACTACATTAATAGCTTAGAGTAATTTAATCTCTGTAATAACAACAGCGGTTACAAAATCTATTTAAATAAGCTGTACTACTGTTAGCATTGCTTAAGCGAATTGCAGCTCAAGAGACTTCTGTTTTACATTGATTTATATTGCTAGAATATTGTATCTATTTCTTTTTCTTTGTCTGTGGCGTAATTTGTTTCCCTCTCCTCTAATGGACTACTCAATTTTTCCCTGTGATATATATTTTAAATATTAGTTCTAGGGCAAGCAGTTGTAGGACTATTTTATATCCTTCATAGCCCAAAGGATTTTTAGTTGATGGAATAGCAATCCATCAAAACACAGCCTAAATGTAACAGATGAAGTCTCATGTGGTCAAGCATTCAGACACAGGCCTATTAATAGTTTGTTTTTTGAGGGTAACCATCCATAAAAATTCAATGAGGCAAAACCAAATCCAGCAATATCTATCCGTGTGGCGCTTCCCTCGTGTCTTGCAGCAAAACAATGGCCAGAGGAAGCAAGAAAAC